GTTGAGGTTGGATATTAGGAAAAACTCTCTCACCAGGAGGGTGGTGAAGCGATGCTCCATCCTGACCCAGATGAGTGGGTTAAATTGGAAGCAGAGGCCTGTTCCCTCCCCGCCGGGATTCACAGACCTGGGGCCACCAGAGGCCCTTGGGAAGATCCAGCCCTGACCTCCTACATCACATGGGCCCAGGGGCTGCCCCATTTATTTCTGCCATTCATACACTGCCCTTCCCAGCACAGGCTGAGGGTGTCTCACCATAACAGAATGGAGCAACTTGAAAGGGCAATGAGAATAGATGAGACAAAAATCAAGCAGAGAATAAATGAAACCACCTCCCAACCTAGCTTTGGTGGCTAAACACCTGCCCGAGAAGGAAGCTATTGCAGCACTTCTGGAAGGTGCCCAGGTTTGGGCACCATTGGCATCCAGAGGGAGGGAGCTCCAGAGCTGAGGAGAGCTGCTGAGAATGTTTCCCCGCATTTTCCCCAAGTGGACATGCTGAACCAGACCTACCCCCATGGGCACCAGAGCTCCTAGAAAGGGAAGAACGTGCTCAGGATTTCTCCCTGCCTCTGGCTCAGAGGCAAGCCTGGCAGGGACTGGAGCGATAGCAAGAAATGCCACTCACCAACAGAGAAGTTGTAGCGCACACAGCTGGCTTTCTCCACCTGTGGAAGAGCAGAGGCAGGAGTTACAACCATCCCTGCCCTCTGGAGCAAAAGCAATCTTCACACAGCACCCAGCACATCTCAGAGGCTCGTTATGTCTCTCTGGAGGAGCTGGGGCTAACTCTGCAGATGGGGAAACCGCGGCAGGCCGGGGTCAAGTGCTTCTGCACCTGTGTGGCGTGGTGCCTGGTGCCTTCAGCTGAGCGAGACCAGAGCCTCAAGATGAATAGCTTGGGTTAGATGAGTTTGTCCAAAGGCCACACAGCCAAGCAGCAATACAGGGCCCTGGCTCCCAGCCTCCTGCCTTCCTCTGTAGGGGATGCTCCCTTGGCTGCTTACCCTGGGCAAGCCTGTCCCACAGGAATTGGGGAAGCCCTGCATCTAAAGCTACGAGCTCTGAGCTGGACACACTTGAAGCAAATCCCCCAGCTTGGCCGGGGGTTCGGAGGGCGAAGGGCAGAGCAGAGGTGACCTGAGTGCTCTCCCAGGACAACCCGCCACGAGGCAGAGGGGCTGGCTGCTTTCAGCCTCTGCCTCAGCACAGCCAGGAGGGGCTGAGCCCTTCTACAGGAGTGACCGTGCCGTGCTGCTTGGACATGCTTCACCCCATCCAGCTCTTCGCTTCTCCAGCCCAGGGCATCAAGGGCAGCTCCTGGCATGGCTGGGAACCCAGGGGAGGGGTGGGCTCGGTGTCATCGAGTCATAGACAATGAGGGCTGAAAGGGATCTCAGGAGTCATCTAGTCCTGGTCCCACTGTGAGCAGGGGTTTGAACTAGATGGGACCTCCTGAGGTCCCTTCCCACCTGCATCTTCTATGATTTGTGTTCTAGTCTAGCCCCCTGCTCAAAGCAGGACCAGCCCCAACTACACCATCCCTCCCATGACTAACAAGGCTGCTCCTTTCCCTCTCAAGCACACACAGAGAGGAGGCATGCTAAAACAGATAGATTTATTGAACAAAGAGGAATAGGGTGAGGAAGGGATACAAAACAACAGAATATAGAAAGAAAACCACCTTGAGCAAAACAGCACAGGCTGGTTAGCCTTTGGATACACGACTAAAACACTTAAACATAAGTTTCTGGCTGGATTTTAGGTAAGTTACTCACATCCACATCCAGAGATTTCTGGAGGGCCATAGCTTGAGTCAGTGACCAGAAGATGCCTCCCCCCGCTAAGATGGAGGGACCCTTTAAATAACGTTTCTGACCTCATCCCCTGGACCCAGCCAGAATCAGGTATTTTCTGAGCATCGCTGATGCTAA